CAGCGTGATTTCAGCAAACAGTCAGCAAGCCAGCCACAAAATTAAATAACTCAATTGGGAAACGAGCGACTAAAGCGACTCAGTCCGCGACGACGGAGTGAGAGTACAAGAGGAGAGGCGAGTCGGGGCGGGGCCAGAGGAGACAAGCGCTTCTAGTTCGCGGCTCGAGTAGGTTAGAGCGGAGCAGGCCGGTGCCGGCTAGGCCACCAAATCTCGTTACAACTCGACTTGATTTGCAAATTGCACCATGACTCCCATGAGCGAGCGCCGCTGCTGCCGTGGAACAAATATGTATTGGGGACTCGCTTCTAATTTGATCTCTGCTGTCACTTGCGAGACATCAAAGGTGAATGTGACCGGGGTCTTGACAGCTCGCGAGGCAGCGAGGAGAACGACGCAGCGCAGCCTCGCATATAGAGAGAAAAAAAGGCGAAGAAGCTCGAATTCGAGATAAAGGTTCCCTCAACGAAGACCGTCCATGTATGGTGTAGAATGAAGGAACGAATCCGGAGTCACACACCAAAAAGATCAGCGACAGAACGTTTTCTACTCCTGAACGATGCAGGACGGTAATTCGAAGAGACCTCGATTCTATCTGGTAGGGGGGGGGGGAGGAACGCAACGACGACGCGTCAGGCTTCGTTTTACGCTCGTTGGTGATATGGAGGCAGCTGCCTCCGTGCAGAGCGGAAAGTCGAGCACCGATCTCGGGACAGAGCTCTTCATCGATCCCATCGCCTACGGAATCAATTGCGCGACCAAATTACCCGATTCGCGGTGAGGGGCTCGGACTCCCGCCATATTGTCGCATGGAAATACGGAGTCTCAACTGACAGGCTCACTTTGCCGACTGAGAATATTCTGCTGTCTGGACGAGAAGAGGTTTTTTCCACGCCGTCGAAAAGGAGGCGGAGTCTCGCATTCAATAGTGGAGCTTGCGGTAACGAAGTCCGGGTTCTCAAACAGAAAGCGATAGCTGTTGTATTGTTGTGACCGCTCGCAACCCCAAACGCGTGGTGGAATACAATAACGGAGCGACTGACCTCTAAGAGCGGGACAAAAACGCGCCAATGGTCCACAGCCGTGATCCAGAGTTAGGAATAAAGCGGCGAAGGAGATCGTAGGGCGATGCAGAGAAGGAATGAAGTGTCTGTCCGGATGCCGGGCACGCGTCACAGCACAATGAGCATGAAAGAGTTTTGCCGTCTACAGAAGCATACAGTCGGGTTAGAGATTTTCGGAAAATGCTTCCGACTTCCGCGTTGCGTCGAGAATCGAGCCCTCCGAATGAAATTGAGTCGCCGCTTCGCGCTATGCGCGGTATTGGGTTGCGATTAACCGACGCGCACAGTATTATCCCGCATCGTCGTCAGATGGATTGATTGTAACTTGATGAAAACACCGAGAGGGGGTCGTCGGAGGCTCCGGCAAGAGTCTTCGAGAAGCGCTTCGGAACATTTTCTTTCAGAGCCCTCGGGGGTTTGAGCAACCCTAGAGGTTTTACCGGCTCGACTCCGACGGCTCCGCTCCGGAGCGACAGTATTTCCCTCGAACTAAACATTCGGAAATGTCTTTGCCTGAGTTCTTGAATATTCGGACTCGGTCCGGACGGAAAAGAATGAGTGACGTCGACTTCAGATGCACGACCGAAGTCTGTCCGAGCGAACGCACGAGAGGAAGGAGGGTGAGAGGAAGTGAAATAAGGTTGAAGGGCAACAATTCTCAGGGGTATCGTCATCTTGATAGCTTTGAGTAACGGGAGCGATGGGAAGGCAGAATTTTCGCTTCTCCGTCCCTCTATAGGAGACGATGAGCAGATATTTATTCGATGAGATTCACCGCTCTATGACGATCGGGATCGACGGCTGAGATCAGTCGGCAAGCGAGCGCAGCGTCATCACCTGGATTTCTAATGATGACGGGCGGACTGATTGCGGGATCGTCGTAGGAAGTTTCTTGAAAGAATGTCTCAAGGTGGTGAGTCGGTCTTAAAGTGATAGATTTATATGGGGATTTGAGGAATGAGGTTTCCATGGGGTTTACCACACATTCGGTCATACCAACTAACCTCCCGGTTTTCTGCGGCTGACCGTTTTCGAAAGGCTTCGAGTCCCTGAGACAAGAAGTCACGCGGAACACGAAATCATCGCTCACACCATCGGGATGGTAGAGCTCGACCGGAGCCGTGCGGACATTCCGCGGACTTCGCACCGAATACAAATTCCGGTGGACGTATAAGCAGACTTATTTCGACCCGGATTATGAGCCGTCGTCCGCAGCGTTGAATATCATGGGAAGTCCCCCGAGATCTGGCCAGTTCATTCCATCTTCCCTCCCTCGGACACATCGGAAGCCTATTGTCAGAGAAAGATACTCTCACATCTCCGATTCCGAACTCAGGTCGAAGTTCTCGAGAGCGTTTAGGTGTTTCCCAGCCGGGGTTCTCGCTTGCCGTCTCGATAGATTGCCGCTTCGAGATACAGCCAAACGGTGACAGGCACGGGAGGAAGCAAGAAATTCGAATGAATAATGGATGACGCGCTCGCACGAAGTCGATATTCAATTTGTTTTTTTTTGTGGTCGCGATTCCAAGTACAAATCTCGCTCTAGCTTCTATTGTGTAGTCACTGAGCGCGCGAGTTCTCGACTGACTAGTGGGTGGTTATCGGTCGAAGCAACGGATGGATCGACGAGCGGACGGACGAGTGTATGATGGCTAATGAAAAAGACGATACAGCTGAACAAGTGTATCGATAGACTGCGAGACCACAGCCGCTGCTACCACAACGGCTACTTGTTCTTCGTTCCCCGTCCCATAGGTCGTGAGCTAGCCGACTGTTCAGTGAAAGAAATAGCGGCAGGGAGAGCAAGGGAGCTCGAGAAAGTGGACGATATTGATAAGCGAATCCAGCCATACAGTCAGTCAGCGATGGTCAATGGTTGCTGATCGAGTTAGGCTCGTTAGAAGAAACTTCTCCCTCTGCCGACCCTCCCGCGTTACCGTTCGTTCGCTCGATCCGGGCGACTTGGCCAATTCAAGAAAAGCCGCGGCACTAGGGATTGCACATTCTGCTTCGTTCGATTTTCTGTTCTTCCTCTCTTCAAAATGCATCCCGGAGTCTGGCTCGCCGCTCTTGCGGATCGGATCACTGCGGTGTGGAAATCACGATCAACTTCCTGTATGGTGTATGTCCTCAATAAACTGGACTCTTCTGGGAGTGAACGGGATGGAAAACTAGATATCTGCTGCTCAAAAGACCAGATCGAAACAGATCATCCTTCGGCGTGGCGGCCTCGAGGGGAAAGCTCCCTCGCAACCTTGACCGGATCGATCCACCTTATCATCATGAGCACGGAGGAGCTCGTCAGGAAAATGCGACAGGACAAGCTTTGACCCGAACGAAGCTCGTTCTTTCGACGGATCGGACACCTCATTGAGCGCGTAGGCGTCAAAAGCACCATAGGCTGCGCTAAGACGAGAATATCAACTGCAAGAGGGGGAAGACTTTCTCTGAATCGCGTTAATATCACAAAGTGATGCTGCGGGCCCAGAGGCGGTCAAGTCAAGTTACTTCTGTGAGTTGCTTTCTTGCTGTATGCTGCAGCGAGGGCAGCAAATGCAATCCTCGATGAAGGCTGAGTGGTGTTCTTATAAAAACCATGAACACTTGATTAAGCCGGCGATCAAAGGGATGGTTTGCTCATTCAAAGCTCAATAGAAACATCCCTGCTCGCCTGACTCGTTGGCTCTTCCGTCGGAATGCCTTGGGGACAATCAGAGGAGTCATCTCGCGGAGCGGATAATTCCGATATATCTTCACTTTCATATCATTCCTGATAGGCAGACCTGGACGGGTTTTCGGGGTCCATTCGATCGCTCTTCGCGGATAAACTTCGATGAATTCCCGATTTTTTGATGGACAGTCCCGGGTCGGAAACTACCCAGACCCGATACGCACAGGTTTTAGGGCCTGGCCTATCGAAGAGACGGCTTCATAGACGGAGAGGAATTCCTACAGTTTTCTCGCCGCTTCCCTTGAAGCTATAAATTACGCTCTCCCACGGTCCGAGCTGCGAAGACGTCTCCGAGATGAAGGCACACCGTTTCGAGATCGAGTCTGCATAAATGCAACTTCAATCGAAAGGCTTGACTAATCTAAGAAGCTCTCGAAAGAGGAGTCGGGCGGAGATATGAACCTTGAAAAATCTCCTTCCCCTAGAACATGACATTTACTCGCTAGAATTCGTAGATGTGGGATGATGAATATTTTTCCCAATTTCGTCAGTCGAGGATAGGGAGCGGTATGACCTCGAGCGCCAAGCCGACGATTCACGAAGAATTCCCGAGGTGAAGGCTTCTGGGAGCATTCGTAAGCTTGCGCGAACGTGGCCATTTCGAGCCTTCCTCTTCCCTCTAAGCGACGGGCAACGAGCTCGGGGTGGATGGGTGAGGACGAGGCAGATCTCGCGAGAGTTTGACGAAGAGACGTTCGTCTTTTACAAGACGCTGCTGACAAAAGGAAGAACGTGGTCACGTCTCGAGGCGTGCCAAGCATAAAGTACGCGAGATGACACCTGCTTCACACATGGGCACCGGACTCTGACGGATTCAATTGCCCTGTCTACTCGGCTCCTGGGCCGCGCTCCGCCGCCTGCGACAACCTGCGGCCAGCGCTGCGACCATTGACGGTCTATTGTTGTTGTCACTGCGGTCAGTGTTGCTGCAATTCGCTGTTGTCGTTCTGTCTATTTTCATTTTCTCTCCTTGTTGCGAGATACGGTCGGATCGAGGTGCTCTGAGATCGGCCGCTTATCGAATCCGCGTCACGGACTTTCCCGTGATTTTCGGAGATTCCTGGAGATGGGTGATCCCCTATGCCCTAATTCTGAAGTCGAGCCCCGATGACGAGTCCGTAACTCTCGACACGAATCGCGACGCATCGACAAAAATCCGTCAGCGGACCGATAGGTCCGTGTCACTCATCTGCTCACTCACTAACCTGCCTGCCTTGGTCACGATCATTTCAGTCCCCAGTCGGTGGAATTCATCCCAGAGCTGCTTCTGCTCCAGGGCACATTGCACAGCACTAAGTCTCGGATGCAGAGGCTTGTCGGTTTCGGAGAAGGCTTCGTCACAATGGACGTATTCGGCTGAAGCCAAAAGCCTTTCGTGTAGCGGTGTCAGATTCGTGGGAGGTTCCAACATCTGCGGTAACCGAACCTCCTTCTGAAGTTCTACGGGGGTGTCTGAAACGGAGGAGATTTCCAAATTTGAGAAAACGAAACGAGAATCCTTCTCTCTGGACCGTGGTACCCAGTTCGAGCCGGAGAGTTTGACGACTGTTATGACACTTTCTTGCAGCACGCGTACAAGCACCCATCTGGACGTTTGGGGAATTGTATGCGAAATTGATTTGGGCGAAATCCCTTCGTCACCGCTTGTCTCCCCGAGACCGAGTCGATTTACTCCCGCACTTGTTCTTGCCGCGCTCCGCAACAGTGAGCTCTCTCGGGCTTCTTCCCGCAGCGATGTCAGCCAGGTAAAGTGGGTTCCGATAGCCCACAAACTTAAGCCGATTACTCGAAGAGCTGCCTTCGGCTCACTCCATCTCTCTCGCGCGCGTTCTCTCATCATTGCTCAACACTGATAGAGCGAGGATGCAGAGAATTACGATGTAGACTCGACTGATTTCACTCAACGAGATGAAGCGGCATCGCGGCGAATGATTCTAATTTCCCGAGCTCACTACCCTCTTGACGGGACTCTCCCTCGGAAGAAGTTCTGCTCGAGGAGTGATTTTCGGAAACCGGCTGTCGACTCGGTGATGACTTCGGTGGGTACGATCACGCATCGAAATCGCGAGAAGAAGCGTTTCAGAAAGGAGCACGAAATTCTTTTCTGTTATTCGCAGCTCGGCAATGCATGAATAAAGCACCGAGTCGGGTCGAGACCATCTCATTATCTTCCAGCTTGCTGAATTCATGTAGGTCGCTTTCATAAGGCCGAAGTAGACAGACTCAAGGTCGTCTCCTCGGCGTCGGGAGTCCTATCAGAGTCCTCTCACGGAATGAGCACCTCCAAAACGATTCACATTACACGACTTCGGAACTCTTGAACTCGTCCGTCTCGCGCTAGTCCTCGCTCTGATTGAAAATTTTCTCGGAAAAGTTGTTGCCCGTATCCAAGTTTCAGGTCCGAGACATCGAGAAGCTCGAGTATCCGCTCGCGATGTGACCGGGACTCCACGGGAACACTCCCGGTGAATCGAAAGACACCTCTGAACTCACGCACCAGGTAACAATGGCTGTCGGTAGTAGTCCTGGAACTCATGACAGTCCTCATGACGTTCAGATCCTTCGTCCAGACAACGGAACGCCATCAGGGACGCGATCGAAAACCCATGACCACTTCCGGCAGAATCTGTCGGGTCCATCTCGGAGTTGTCGAATCGAGTTCGACTCGGCAACTCGGTTAAAGACCGCCGCGAACCGGAGAGGATGTGGGTGGTTCTATGTGGACCTCTTGGGCGGGACGAGCGGTTCTTCTGGTTCGCTTTCGGGAAAACTGGCAGCCGTCGGGCCAGTGTTAAATATAGAAATGCTAAGCACCGCTGTCGATTGACACGAGTGATCTCTTTATGTGCGATGACTCTGGCGTAGGCTACGCAAGTCTACGGACTACACCCGGCTCTGGTTCGGGTTGCGCCGCCGCGCTGGATTGGGTCGGGCTACGCGAGTAGTTGTTTCTGCCGCCGCCGCCACCGCTGCGGCCGCTGGTCCGGCCTGTGAACGAGCGGTAAGCCCGAGGTCGAGGCGCGAGGTTCCTTCTCTAATTTGTCGAGACCCTCTCGACCTCGACGGCTTCAACGGCTGCCTAGCGTCGTAACATTGTAGATGTTCGTTCGCCTAGAGTATTTAACATCTTCTTCATCTATCGACAGCATTGACAGGCGACTGAAGAGAGGACTGAGTGGCTGACGGACAGACGGACGTACTGACATCGCAGCTAAAAGAGCTTCATCACTCAGCGAGCCAATGATGCAGAGGCAGTTTCTCAAAGATTTTCGAAATTCTCATCACCGCCTCTGGTGAACGACAAACAAGCTTCCAAGGAGCCAGAATCCTGATCACTTGCAAGGAAGAGACGAACGCGGGCATCGAGGATCCGAGGACTCTTCACTTCTCACCCATCCTCCTTCCCACCGTGGGGTCTGAGCCTCATCGACCTGATGATCTGCAATAGTTTTCCCGTTTCTCCACCGAAACAATGAAATTGAAGTAATTTTTCCTTCACTCGACGTTATCTGAGTGGAAAGGATTCGAGATAATATCCTCATCCCGCAGCAGAACTGAAGATTCCCCGGGATTCATAAATCGTAACCGGACGGAGTTCTGCGGAGAACTCCTGCGATTCAAACCCCATCCGAGTAGATCGAAGTCCAATCCACTGACAGATCACCACTTTTTCCTTGCCGGCAATGGCAGTCTGTGAGCAGTCGTCCTGCTTTTGAAACGATTAACCGCGTGTACTACACAGCCGACAAATGTTCGTTATGCTCGACACGTGCTCCTTAAGAGACCGCTAACCATGTCATACACAGATATGTTCGCCCGCCGCTGTTCTTGCAGCGTTCTGAGAGGCCTTTGCGGAGCCTCTATTAAGAACCTCGCCCCAATCCGATCAGTTACCTCATCCACTCGCTACGGTCCGACACTGAATGCAGAGCGAGTCGTCGAGTCTACCCGACCCCGGCAGGAAGGGAGCACGAGGATGAGAGGGATGTTGAAAATTATTCGTTTCCCGATGGTAATTATCACAAGAAGAAGCGGGCGATGATTCACAGGATTTAAATCCTTAGAAATAGTCACACCCTTCTTCCTGATGGATGTCATTAGTTGCTAGCCGACAGTGTCTGGCCATCCCGCTTCTCGTGCTTGGTCTCTTCATCGTTCGCTCGTTGTGCGAGGGTAGAGGTACATCTTCTGAAAGATTGAATTGAAAATGAATCGTTAGGGAGTGAGACCGGATATCTGTGCAGCGATTCAAAAGTTTTGACTCACTCGCTCTCTTTTTCGCCGGCTCCTTCGTCCTCTCTCCCAATCAGATGTTGGCCAGAGTCCCACGGCCGTTTCCTAGACCGTGCTCATCCCTGACCGAGTAAGATAGCCCGGATCGATGAGCTCGACCTCAATGCGCGGATCGTGATGCTTTCCTTCCTTTTGAGCACCCCATCCCTTTTCTCGTAAGCCGCGAAATCGGACGAGATAGCTCGAGTCATGAAATCGTTTTCGAATGCTCAAGCCTGACTGGCACTCTCCCGCCGCGGCGATCTCCCAGGCATGCATGCATCTACCTATCGGTGCGAGCAAGTCGAGACATTCCACTCACCGCGAGCAGAATTTCTCCCCTACTATTGAAACCAAGTGAAACCGTTTCCCGTGCCAACTGGTTCCACCCAACCCGTTAAGGAGCCTTATCTGCTTATCGTTACCATACCATTACTAGCAAAAGCATTGTTTTGAAGATATCGACCACAACGACCACCAACTCCTCCTGATAAACAGGTTCTGTGCGGCGGTCGGATGCGGACTTAAGTTTCACAACTAAGCGAAGATGCTCAGGATGAGGAACGGAGTCTTCACTCGACGCTTTTCCCCGGTGTGCCGTCGGGACCACAAGAGAAATACCGCGAACGGACAATTTCAAACTCGACTTGCGCAACAGAACAGTTTGCAACTTCATGTAAGGCCGATGATGACATCTCTGACACACGCACGTGTCACAATCTCGTCGTCCCTACCTCCTGGCAATGATACATGACTGAACACCGTCTAGTTTGGCTTGTGGAACAAAGTCACTGAGATTCTGCGCTTTCAGAGTGTTCGACATTTTCGAAACAGCTCCTTGCGTTAGGAACGGTTCCTACTAACTAGCTCAGCGATCGCTCTTGAACCTCGGAGTAGCAAGTTCTCAGTTGCGTAACACTACGATAGCCTGATGAGAAGGAAAAGCTGAAATGATCGCGGGTCATCCGAGTTCGCCACGTGAATCGAGTGCTCTCACAACACGACCGGCGTCCCCGAAGGATTATGACTTTTGTCGGGTCCTCTTTGTTTCGCGGAGTTTCCGAGAACGAAATTAAACCGCGCGGAATCCCGACAGAAGATGATCGCAGGACACAGGACCGTACGGGGACATCCGTCTCTCCAAAAAGCCTCGGCTTCAAACTGACACGAATCCTGGGAGCAGAATAACAAATGAAGGAATCGGGGCCGAGAGACGCGCGCGATAGCGAGGAAAGTTGGAGAAGCGTTACGTTAATAAATAATTATTCATCAAAACTCCCGAGCTCCGGATTTTGCCGAGCTTCACGACGAGTCTGCTCGTGGCTTTGAACCGACAAGGGTGCTTAGAACACGATCTTCGATCCTTCCGAACAGTTCCGGATTGCGATGTATAGTTTGTCTGAATTTTCCCTCGTTGTAGTTCTGGGGGAGAACGGGAGCGATACCCTGACCCGCTCACCGAAACCCCCGATTCTCGCGCTCCATGATGTCTGTCCAGTTCCTTGAAACGCAGAGGATCGCGGATAGCCGGAACGTTTTCCGTGAAACGAAAGTAACAAGCGAGGCACCTCCGCAAACGATTCAGGCTTCAGGAAAGTAGTCCAACCTGCACCATTCAAAATTTCATTGGAAACACTGAAGTCGTGGATACGGTCCGGGAAGGGATTCGGGTCGCCTCGCTCACGCCATCCCTCAGAGACCACATGGCTCGTTTTAATCTCGCTGTGTATGATCCTTTTTGATTTGCATACGCTCCGAGTGGAGTTCTCTTGATTGTTTGTTGAATCCCCAAAGTATGCGTATTAATCTTCAGTGAATAATGATTGGCGAATATTCATCGATTCTAATCTGCCGCGTTCCTCCAACGCTGCGAAGACTCCCTTGTGAGACAGCGGAGCTGAGAAGCCGAAAGAAGTCCTGCTATCGCCGCCGATCAACGACGTGAATTCCTGTGCTCTCAAACTTGATATCAACTTCCAGCAGTAGCGTGAGTTTCTGATGCTCTGTTCTCGGCCCCTCTGCTCATCGTTTCTTTGCCTTTAATCCCGTCAGCGTAGACACAGGGAATGAAGCCTCAGAATGATATTCCAAAGCATGGAACTTTGGGCTGATCATATCCAATGATATCGACATCTCCAAAGCGCAGCTCGAGTTTGCTTGGCGATCCCGAGCAAACTCCAGACTTATAGAACTCGAGGCTAGAGACACGACTATCATTCTGATTTTTCCCAAATGAGAATATTACCCTACCGAGACTCGAACCATCCATCTCCGATTCGTTGAGATGTCCCAGGTTAAATCGCTCGATGATGGCCCACGAGTCCATCAGGAATGCTCCTTGAGCGTTTTTCAAATATCATCATCGAAAATTAACAATTGGTACCGGACAGTCGATCAGACTCAAAGAGCTCATCCTCGAGCGTCGGGGTCTGGAATGAACTCCTCTGCCCCGCGATAGGTTCTGACAATATGTACACAATCAGTGTGCATTAGTATAAGACCCACAAAGATGTTCATAAAACCCGGACAAAAGCCTTCCTTGTTCCCTGGTACGTCTGCTCGGGCGCATAATTTGGGGAAGTCAGCCAGAGCCGAGCGTGGAGCTCTGGAGCCCCGCGGCTTTCCATCCGGCTGTAAGCCTTGTATCGTTTACACCCTCGGGAGATCGCCATAACTACCGCCACCCGGACTCCGCTGTTTACAAGTCTATAATTCGTGTTTTCTTTTCTGTCGTTCTGTACCCCCTATCTGTCGGAGAGAGACTCTTCTTCGCGGATGCGTTCAGGCAGCGCTTCCCCCGGGCTGGGCTCAGAAATCTGGATCTCCGACGACGGAGATGATCTTGTTCTCGTTGTTTTCTCCGGTGATCTGTTGATTTGACCTCTCGATCAAAATGTATCTCTCGCTCGAGAACAAGGTTCCGACTCCAGGGCTCGAGCTCTTGAAGACAGTCGCCGGCGCTGATCGTCTTGGTTTCGGGTGTTTCCTCTCTCGCCTCCGTTGTCAGGGTCCCGTAGAGTTAGCGACAGCATTAATCACGCCTTCCGTCACCAAGTCAGTCGTATGCGCAGAGGGAAAAGGATCAGGTTCCAATGATCGTACTCCACGCTCTACGGGGTGTATCATCTGACCGGAAAGACAAACTCTCCACAAACTTTTGTGGTGCTGGAAACGGCTGCGTTTTGTGTTGCAGTATACTGCGGAACGAGACTCAATCATCGCCTCTGACGACTTTATCGTCAGGCGACGACTTGTTGATTGTCTAGACTCGAGACTCTGGACCCAACAGTGTTTGGATTCTCGCGAGGGCTAC